AAAGAAGTCCAAAGCCAGATGAGCTTTCTAGCACAAGTGAGAGGCCTGCACACCATCAGTGAAGACTGAAGTGACAAGCACAACTATAAAATGGGGTTCAGTTGGCACAGAAAGGTGAACCTGGAGGTTTCTGTATAAGGAGAGTGGGAAACAAGGGCTTCTCCTTCTGATGGTGGAACTCTCAAAGACAGAATCTTCCTTCCTCTCCACTTGCTTCAGGTGAACTACTCAGAAATGCTGACGCTAAGTTATAGCTATCTGAATAGATGTGAGAATGTGTGCAGCAACTGAATGGGCATGAGTAGTATTTGAAGGAGTTCACAGGTAGTTGGAGTAACAGTTTAAAATAACATACTTTGTCAACCCATGTCAAGATTTCCGGGAACTCTCCTTTGCAATCATGAAAATTGCCTTCATGTTTACCAGTCAGTGTTTAGAAAAATCATCTCACAAAATATTTATATTCATAATATTTCTATTCATGCACTTATTGTGGCATACAGTAGGTAAAAGGACACCAGAGGAAAGATCCTCCTCTGACCCAGGGCCTCAGTCTTCAGCTCCAGTGGCCTCTGCAGTCTGCAAGCATGCTTCCAAGACTTAGCACATGATGTTTCTTCTGCCAGTCCTGCATTCTGCACATGTGGGCACCTATACCACATCGCCTCTCATGGATGGTGCTCATGGGGTTGCTAAGCTTCTCCTTGAGCTGAGGGATTCAAAGGAACTACTGGATCCATGGGGTAGCACAAGGTGAAGAAGCATACATGTTTACGTTTATGATTCAGGCTTAAACCAGAATCGGAAAGATACAGATTTAATTCCAGGCATACCTTGCCAGAGGGTGTTACATTAGACAAGTTGTACATACTCTTGAGCCCCTATTTCTTCATGTAGGATTTTTTTTTCATGAAGAAATGTTTAAGGAAGTGGACAGAAAATGATCCATGAGGATGTTTGCTGCAGCATGAATGATCATCTAAAATGATAAATATATGGAAACACATGCGCTAAAATGACAAATAGAAGAGAGGTTTTTAATGAATGCTGGAACTCCAGAGTTGTTTCTTAATTCTCCTCTTTCTGATTTTGTGGATTGTTTATGAGCATGAATTACTTGAATAACAATGTTCAAACATATTATTTATCAAAAGTGCAAATTCAAATAGTAGTGTGGTGTTTTCTTCCATCAAATAGCAGAAAACAGTAGGATTAGTCAATTTTTAGTGATTGGATTATTTGTAAGGAGCAGATATTACCTGTGACAGAAAATGAATACAATGAAAGTGACATCTATAATCACCACAATGATACAAACAGGGGCTTGGGATCACCTACATATCCTTGATCAGAGTGCTTGCTTCACACTAATGTTGCCTGAGGATGAGGTTCTCTGGGAAGGCTCATGGTGCTGGGTAAATCGGGATTTCCTTTTCAGTTCAGATCTAAGCTCTCACATATAAAAGGCCTTACCTGTCCTCTCACTCCTTCACAGCATCCTAGAGAAACTTGATCCTATGCAGAGAACACAGCAGCTGCCAACCGACAGGCACCAAGGTCAGGGAGGCAGCAGACTGCAGATAGCCTTTCCAAGTGATAACAGGAAACACCTAAGAGCTAGTGAAAGCACTTTACCTGAGGAGAAACAGGAGGCTGAGACTAGAGCCCACAGTTTATGCTGATTGCAGAGTGTGAGATCTCAGTCTCTCAATAAATCTTTATTTAATCCACATAAAGATCTGAGTAGTAGGAGCAGCTCCTGCTTAGATATAAAAAGTGGTTGTCTCTGATTGGCCAGATCAAGGAAGAATTATATATTCTTCACACTTGGCTCTGTATTGACTCTACATCTTATCTGTAGGAGAGAGGGAGAAAAGGAGAGGGAGATCTGGCAATTCTACTTCTGCCATGGGGGATCTTTCTAACTCTCAAAGAATGTGCACTTCTTTAAGGGTAACCTGCAGAGTCCGAGAATTGTCCAGGTCCAGGCATGCAAGGACAGAAAGGATATTTTCCCCCCAGGGGCTTAGCGGGGGTGGGAGGGGGTGGACAGGGATGTGCAGGGCAAGCTCCTTTCTGTCCTGCAGGCACCCATCTAACTTTTGCCCAAAGCAGTAACAGTGGGCTTCTGTCCTCCTACTCCCAACCCCCCACACCTTCTCTGACAGCAGAGGATCAGACCACCTAGGCAATGGTGAAGCTCTTTGACGTGCACCAGGTGCAGGAGACCTATGTCCTCTAGCACTGCATTTTATCTGCTGGGTTCCTCTCGGAGAACCATATATCTTTGGAGTCCCAGAACATGCTGGTTGCACAAGAACAAAGCACACTTACTGTCTGAGAGGAAGGCTGGTGTTGTGGTAGCTCTATTGAACCTCTCTTTTCTTTTGAGATCATGTTGTACATACACAGTGCTACATAACCAGATGTTTCAAGTTAATGACTTAAAGTGAATGGCACCACACCACTATTACAGGAAATATTATTCAGCATGGGTTTTGGTAGTCACCCATATTTCATTTTCAAGTGTACCATAATTTACTTATATAGCAAATCCACGACCATGCTATTATAAATTAAGCTGTTTTGGAAGTCCCATGTACCCAAATTTTTGTTCACATGATTAAAGAAAAAAAAATTCAGTGGTAGTTGTTAAAGCACAGTAAGGAAAACCTTATTTAGGACCGTGGTGATGGGTATAGGGACCATTGCAATGGGATCTTGCAGTAGGGGAGAGAGATTGGGCTCAATACTGAATACAGCACAGGCCAGTGGGAATGTATAGCAAAGGAGCAGTATGACGGTCTGTGGGTGGAAAATTACTAAGAGGAAACATCAGGGGTAAGGGGGATTCTGGCTAAACCCACCTAGCAGGATTCTTGCTGAAGACAGGCCAAGGGAAATCAGACATCACCTGGGGGATGGTGGAAGATGAAGAACCCCATGAGATAGCAAGTATGATTAGATATTGAGGATGGAGGGTTCATGCCACATTGACTTAGCAGGGCTCTTTGCTAAAACTGGGTTTTACAAGGAAATGTACAGATGGTTCTAGGAGAAGTTTCAGAAGCCTGACTTAAAAGTTTGGCCAAGCAAAGAATATTTGTCAACATTCAAGACAGTTTCCTTAACATTAAAGTCCTAGAAGTAGAAATGCTGGGTCACAGGATTTTTTATTTTTTGAGACAGGATCTTGCTCTGTAGCCCAAGCTGGAGTGTAGTGGTGTGATCTTGGCTCACTGCAACCCCAGCCTCCTGGGCTCAAGCTATCCTCCCACCTCAGCCTCTGAAGTCGCTGGGACTGCAGGTGGGCACCACCATGCCCAGTTAATTTTTGTATTTTTTGTAGAGGCAGGGTCTTGCCTTTTTGCCCAGGATGGTCTCGAACTCCTGGGCTCAAGCAATCCACCCGTCTCAGCATCCCAAAGTGCTAGGATTACAGGCATGAGCTGCTGCACCTGGCCCGGATTTTTGTGCAAATGTTTAGGCTTATTTATGTATGTGGGTTTATCATCCTTCTTCTTTACATTTTTTTTCTGGATTCCTATCATGCTTAAAATGGCTTTGTACTCTCTGAGAACCTAAGCTTTCACACATCTCTGGGAAGACTGAATACCCTCTTGAGGGCCACTGAGGCAGCAGCACTGAGAAAAAATTAAAGGGTAAATTTGCAGGTGAAATGCAGAGCTGGGAACATTCCTAGATCCAGGACAGAACATTTTGCAAGAGGGGCCAGAAGCCAGAGACAAGCCCTTCCCAGCACCGAGCAGGCCCTTCCTCCAGGTGGCACAGAGCCTCTAGGAGGCGGGAGAGGGCTGGAAAGACAACCCACGTGACACCCTCCCATGTTTGGGATTGGCTGGTGGGATTGACAGTGCTGAGGTCTAAACAAGGAGGCACAAGTAGGTAGGTGCCACTTCTCTTCCCTTCTTCATTCTTCGCCAGGCTCTCTCCTGACTCCAGTCAAGTGTAAGTGAGAACAGGTGTGAATGAGTGAGCCGGCGGGCTTCTGGTGGGTCGGGCACTGTGGTCCCTGGCCTCAGAGAAGGAAGGGCCTTGAGGTCTTCATCCTTCTCCTAGCAGGCAGCTATGTGGCGGGGCAGGGACAGGGGAGGAAGGAGGGCCATGAAGGGGAGGAGGGTCAGCCAAGATGGTGTGAGTTTTGGAGCGGGACACTATCTGAGTCCTGGAGGCATATGAAACTGCCCATAGAGGACGGATGCCGGAGTCCTCAGTGGGGACCAGGGAAAGGGTGGGACGGCCCGCGCTTGACAGCGCCCGCCTCAGTGTGCATATTCACTGGGGGTCTTCCCATCAGCCCCTTCACCCACGAGGTGAACTGCCGCGGAGCTGTGAGGATGTTGTTTGCATTCCAGTTGTCGGGACTCTTTCACCTGAGACTGAGACTCAATGGGTGGGTCCACCGATCGTTCCTCCTGGGAGTTTAAGTGTGAGGAGGAGCTGGTGGGCTTCAGGCGGGTGGGGCAGCACAGTCCGTGGCCTCGATGAAGGAAGGGCCTCACAGGCGGTGGCACCGCCATGACCTTGTGGTTGTGGCAGGGCTGGGGTGAGGGAGGAAGTTAGGCCACGGAGGGGAGAGGGATCAGATGGAGTGAAACTTGGGGGTACTTTTTGAGGTATCTTTGAGTCCCAGAGGCGCTTGAAACTGCCGATAGAGGACAGTGGGGACCTGGGGAGGAGGGGACCTGGGGTGGCTGAATATTAAAAAATCTCTTCATAATGGAATTCAGTTATGAAATTAAGTCTCTTTAGGAAAGACCCCATGTTTTGATCTAGGACTTGAAGATCACTTCTCTGCCAAGTTGGCTGTGGAAGAAACAAAGCAGTTTGCAGATAGATTTATTTGATGTGATTGGAAACCAGGCGTAGTTATTATTAACTCAGGACCTATTATGGAAATCTCACAAAATTTTAAAAAAAATTACAATCAGCAGATGGCCATGGAAAGAGTCGAGTATAATTACTTCTTTTTATTGCAGTCTTCAGTTCACGATCTTCTAGTTGGAGCGATGAGTGCACGAGTGAGATCAAGATCCAGAGGAAGAGGAGATGGTCAGGAGACTCCTGATGTGTTTGCATTCGTGGCTGTGAGTACCTTTCAGTATCTTATTTCCATTGGCAGAAATGTATTTTTCTGAAAGAAAATCGAAAACATTGTTGAACCAATATAGATCTGTTATATAAAGGACTTCCCTGCTGAAAATAGTTGCAAACTAAATCACATTAATGAGATATTGAGCAAGGAGACCTATTTTCTGATATTGTCTGCATATGTATGTTGTTAGGAGTCTGGAAATAGTCCTTATGACTTTCCTATCATGCTTATTAATAAATAATACAGCCCAAAGAAGATGAAGATGGGTTCCAGAATTATCGGTCCTTTCAGGTAACTCCTTAAAGTATTTTCTATATAGGAAGAATAACTTTTCTTAAGAATGCTTATAGAGAGGCTAGGAAAAACCTCTTCAGATTTATTTATGACTAGCTATCTTCACATAGTATGTATATTTGTGACTCCTATTGCCATGGTGTTAATAACAATATTCGATTTGCATCCACTCTCCCCCATGTCTCAAAAGCCCCGTGAATCTCAGCAAGAGGAACCACCAACTGACAATCAGGATATTGAACCTGGACGAGAGAGAGAAAGAACACCTCCGATTGAAGGTGAGAAAGGCATGGAGGAGCATTTTGTATTTCATGTATGATGTTATACTAGTAACAGGAATAAATAAACCATCCCCTAAAAATTGGCTGGAAACCTGTAAGGTAATCCTTCATAAGGGAATAATGTAGTTTTCAGCTGCCGTAGTCCTTCTTGTGATAAATTTTCTCTTCGGCATTTTACTTATCTTATATCTTAAGAGTTCTTTGGCATACTTGGAAAATACAATCCTTGCCAAACTCTATATTAGCAAACAAAAGGAAACTACATTAAATTTAGAAAAAATTGTAAACTGTTTCATGAGTTAAACTTGGTTTTATTGGGATATTATTTTTCTGGGCATACGTCATTGCATTAAAAGTTTGAGCAAACCTAGATATGTTATGGTTAGCTCTTACACAGCAATTTTTAGAAAATGTCGTAATTCAGAGAAATAAAAATGTGAAATCCTTTTAGTTACCGTTAAAAGTCTTCAATACTTTTGTCTTTCTGAACCATTATCTATTTGTCATATATTCATTTTTTAACTTTTTACTTAGAAAGGATTTAAAATGTAAGGAAAAGTTATCTAAGTACAGTGAACTTCTGTTTATTCTTCACCTTGATTCACCAATTGCTATAACATTTTGCCACTTATCTCCCTGTTTTTGCCTTATTAATATTTTATTGCTGAACCACTTGAGAGTAAGTTTCAAATATCACAACTATTTACTCTGTAAGTAATTCAGTATGTATCTGCTAAAAATATGAATAATCACTTAAATAACCTCAGAACAATTATCAAATTCAGGAAAATTGGCCTTGAGAAAACATCTAATATATAGTCTATTGCAGTTTTGTCAGTTGGCCTAGGAATGTCCTTTATAGGATTTTTTTCCTGATCCAGGATCTAATCCAAGACTACTCATTGTATTTAGTTGTCATATCTCTCTGGTCTTCTTTAATCTGGAAGTGTTCCTCAGTCTTTCTTTGCCTATCATGACATTGACAACTAGAATCCAAACCAGTTGTTTTGTAAAATGTTCTTTAATTTGGGTTTGTCTTATGTTAATGTTTTTACAGACATTTTTTTCATTCATTTACTGGGGCTTACTAGGTGCCGGGAAATGTACTAAGTACTGAGGATATAAATGAGAGAATGATTTCTTCCTTGAGCTTGCAATCTAATCAGGGAAATTCATGTAAATAAATACTGCTCTAATGAGTGATTTACAGTAACAGAAGTATATGCAGATCGTGAAAGTGACAACTAAGTTGTCTTAAACAGTCGTAGGAAAAGAAAACTTCCTAGTAGAGATAATATTCTTCCCCATTTTCTAGCAGAAAATTCCAACACCCATTGCACTCATGCCTCACATTTGTTAGAATACAAGCCCACAGACCTTTATTTAATAACACTAATTTATAGTTTACTGCTTACTTATATCAATAATTTTTTTATTTATATGAGAACGTAAAGTGGAAGGTGATTGCCAGGAAATGGATCTGGAAAACACTGGGAATGAGCGTGGAGATGGCTCTGATGTAAAAGAGAAGACTCCACCTAATCCGGAGCGTGCTAAGACTAAAGAAGCAGGTACGTTACTCATTCAGAATGGAAGTCATGGGGTTACTCTTTTTCTATAATATACTTTAATAACAAGTCTCACATACAAATATTATTTGAAAGGTAGTTCACACACCAAATACTTGATTCAAAGACAGTGTCAGGGAAAAAATGAATTAGGTCAAAGCCATGTTGTTGAATTATAAAATATGAAAGTATTATTACTTTGGAGAAGAAATCTTCCAAAACTCAAGGCAAGTGATCAAACATTTTAAAAAGCATATATATTACTTAACATACCCCAGGAGCAATTGGGTATCTAAATGACACATAGTGTTGCTTTAAAAAAAATTTTGCTAGAATTGTTTATCACAAATCGCTTTTAGGCACTAACAAGTAAGATAGATCTGTATGTTTTGAATTTTCCAAGTTGGTTTGTTGTTTTTTTTAAAATTGCGAGCTAGACTGAGAAACAGTAGCATTTTCCCTCACATTTTAATGTCATCTATATGGTAGTAGCTTAAATAAACCAGTAAGACTACGTATTTTTTTTTTAACAGGCATATCTGGCCTCCAACCATATAATTTTTATCATCTAAATCAGGACACTTTTGAGAGGGAAAGAAATACATCAGGTTAACAGGTAGACAAATGGCCACTCTGGTATAAAGAGTCCACATAAAGATTTAACTAGATCAATGAATTATTTTTGCACTTTTGCACAAAAGAGACAAACCAAATGGAATGGCATTCTTTGACCTCTCTTTAGTCAGCTAAACAATTCCTTAGCTAATATATAATTAGTAGAGTGTTTTTAGTCAATACATTTGAGTGACACTGTGTTTGCTTGCTTGTTTTTTGCTTCCTGGAGTTTTTGTTTGATTAAAAAATCAAAACAAAACAAAACTGAAATCAGTGGCTGTTTTTGCCCTCTACTTAAAATTATCTTTAAATGGGCTCATAGCATTTAATCTGTTCTGGCTTGAGAAGTCTTTGTTTCCTCATACCACTAGAGTGATGAATTTTAAAAATTAGTACACATATGCCTGAAAATGTACATTAGCATAGAAGTCTATGCAGTGGCTAGGGTTCTGGTTTTCATTTCATCTTAAAAAACCAAAACTAGTGTTGTTTGTGTGCTTTTAGTATCATCTCAGTAAAGTTCTGCTAAGTAATGAACTCAAATGTTATGTTTATATTTTAGGAGATGGGCAACCATAAGTTAAAAAGAAGACAAGCTGAAGCTACACACATGGCTGATGTCACATTGAAAATGTGATTGAAAATTTGAAAATTCTCTCAATAAAGTTTGAATTTTCTCTGAAGAAGTCATGCGTGTCTTTTGTAAAATTTATTCCTAGGAAATTGATAACTATTGTAAATGGTATCTTTAAAAAATCCTTGTGTTCTGTTTAGAGCTGGTATATATTTTTGTATACTGATTTTGTGTTGGGCAACGTTGCTAAATTTGCTTATTCTGTTGGTTTATCCCTACATCCTTTTGGATTTTCTCCATACACAATCATACCACATGTAAATAATGATAATTCTGTTTTTTCCTTTTGAGGCTTTATACTTTCATTTCTTGTCCTTATGACACTGGCCAGACCCCTCCAGTACAATGTTGATTAGAAGTGATGATGATGTGAATTCTTGTTATATTCCTGATGTCAAGAGGAAAACTTTCAACATTTCACCATGATAGGTTTTAAAAATATATGTAGAGTCCTTCTACAGGTTGAGTATACCTAATACGAAGTCCTCCAAAATCTGAAACTTTTTGAGTGCCTCTGTGATGCTTAAAGGAAGTGCTCATTTCAGATTTCAGATTTTCAGATTATGGATGTTTAACCAGTAAGTATGATGCAAGTATTCCAAAATCTGAAACAGCACTTCAGGGATGGTATACTCAACTTGTATTAGATTAAGGACTTTTCAAAAAAATTCTTAGTTTTCTAAGAGTACTTACCATGCTTACCATGAATATATGTTGAATTTTATCAAACACTTGATCTGCATCTATTGAGGTGTATGATATTTCTCCATTAAGCTGTTAATACAGCATTCCTAGAATAAGCCCAATTTAATTTGTCATATATTGTCCTTTTATGTATTACTGGTTCCTTTTCCTAATGTTTTGTTTAGGATTTTTGCACTTTTGTTCATGAGCTTGACCTATAAATTTTTAATACTCACTCCATTCAGGCCTTGGTATCAAGGGTATTCTGGCTTTGTAATATGAGTTAGGATGTATATTCTCCTTTTATTTTTCTCATGTAGTTCAGCTAACATTGGAATCCTTTCTTAAATGTTTGATAGAATTTGCCAGTGAAGCTATCTGTACCTGGAGTTCTCTTTGTAGGGAAGTTTAAAATTGAATCAATACCTTTAGTCACATTAGGACTATTTCAATTTTCTATTTCTTCACTTTGGGTTTTATTTTTCTAGGATTTTGTCCATATTATCTAAATTTTTGTTATACAAAATAGTCCATAGTATCCTCTCCTTATCCTCTTAATGCCTGTTTTCATTCATAAAACTGATAATTTATGCCTTCTCTCTTGTATTCTTGATCAATGTCAGGGTCTTTTCAAAATAAACTAACTTTTGGCCATCCTATTTTTGTTTTATATTTTGCTAATTTTGGCTCCCATGTTTATTTTTTTACTTTGTGTTTAATTTGTTGTTTTTAACTCCTTGAGATAGATGTTTAGTTCATTAATTTTCAGTCTTCTTTTTAATGTATACTTCATAACTTTCTCTCTAATGAAGGCTTTAGCTGCAGTCCACAGATTATATTTAGTATTTTTGTTATTCAACTCAATATTTTCTAATTCACATTATTTATTTGAACAATAGATTACTTAGAAGTGTATTTCTTCCAAACATTTGAACACTTTCTAGCTGTTGTTGTGTTACACAGTATAGATAACTGACAATAGCTGTTTACAAAAGATACATCCAAAGCATAAAAATTTACAGAAGTTGAAAGTAAAAGGATGGACAAAAGATATTCTGCATAAAATAATTAAAATAGGCTTTAAGGCAAATGAGCATTACTAGGAATAAAGTATTTCACAGAGAAAAGGATCAATTCACTAGCAAGATTCGATTTTAAATACGAGCCTAATGTGGCTTCAAAATATGATGGGAAAATTGGCAGAATACGAAAAGAGGTTGGTAACTGAGAGAATAAGCAGACAAAAAGCAATAAGGAGGTGGGGCTCTTCGCTACTGGCAAACGAATCACTTGGCTTTGTCTGCCTTTAAGGTATCCTAGCACTGATTCTTACCCTGAGGAGGGGATGTGGAGTAGACCTGCTGGAGGGTTCCTGGTGGAAGGTTTTACTCCTCCCAGTCCATCACCAGGTATTGGAACTGCTGTGGGTATGCAAGGAAATCTAATACAACCTGGACATCGTTTTTAGTTTCTACATGTGTCACCTGGGGGTAAGAGAGAGGTGGTAGATGGAAGGGAAGGGCCTCATAAACTGAGTGAGTCATGACAGCTAGAAACTAGTTTTAGAGCAAAGGGCAGACATTTATTGAAAGGATGCTGGAGTGCTTCAAACTTACTCAGGAAGGGTAGGGCCCAGGGCGACCCTCAGTTGTATGGAAACCAGGCATCCTCCTTTCAAGGGCTCCTGATTCCTGAGGACCAACTCCTGCTACTAACCCTAGGAAGCCTCCCCGTTCCCTCCCTGGAGGAAGGGGCCAGGTGGAGAGATGATGTCCAGTGCTGGAAGGAGAATGTTGCTAGGGTATGTACAGTCAGGCAGCACGGCTGTACAAGCCAGACAGCGTGCACTAGGCTGTGGCCAGCCACCACCAGCACTCGGGGACTGGAGTCTTCCTAGAACACTCTTTCTCCTCCGGCCCATGTCCTGATGCCTGCCCTGGGCTGCACTGTCTGGGACCAGCAGCTACAAACCGACATCCTCGAGCCATGCCCAAGGTCTGAGCCACTTGCTCTGGGCACACTCCTCGTGGGATTTGGGGTGCTGCTGCCCAGTGCCAGTAGCCCCTTGGCACAGGGGTTCCCAGAGGCCCTTCAGCCCCATGTCTGATCCCCTCTCCCTGCTGGTAGCTCCACAGGCTTCTTTCCACTTCCACCTGCTGCCCACCCCAGGACATTGCCAGGGCTTAAGGGTCTTGGGACTGTGTCCTGTAGTTTAGGCCCCCTCTCAGCTGAAGGGGAGGTGCCAACTGTAGGGATGGCCTTGTCATGCCTCATCCCTCCAGCTGGCCTTGGAGAGAAGAGCTGGATTGTGCCCCCAGGCTGCTCAGCATCTGCTGGGCCAGGAGGCCGGCTGCCAAACTATCAACCCACCCATGGCCTTAGGAGCCCAGAAGGAGACAAGGAGCAGGCCCAGACCCTGCAGAGCGCTGATAAGATGGGCCAGGGACGCGCCTCTCCAGGCCCAGCAGCCTTGGGAACCACAGCCCCTCTGGAGCTGGGGTCCAGGCCTCCCCAGAACTGCAGCTGGAGCTTCATCCTTTTCCGGGAAGGGCAGGACCTGGGGTGGGAGGGGAGACTGAGACAGGGCTGGAGGCAGGCTCAGCTGCCAAAATGATGGCCTGTCACATCTTCTGCCTGCGCTCCTCAGGCAGGCTCCTTGGAGGGGACATTTCACAGCCTCAGAAACATTTCTGGACTTGGCACCCGCTCGGCCCCCAGCCCTGTAGTGGCTGGGGGAAGCCTGCATGGAAGACGGAAAAAATAAGGTAGGAAGATCAGAGCTGTAAAAGGGGATACAAAGCCTGTACTCCACGACCATTGTGTCAGGCACAAGGTACTATCCTGGAAGCCTTTGCTGAAGTGCGGTGGACAGTACCCTGGATGGGGATCAAAAGAACTGAGTTGGCTTTTGGTTCTACTTCTGAAAAGCTTTGTATAATAGCATGTAGATGATCCTCTTTGAGTCTTAGCTTTATTGCTTGTAAAATGCAGATAATTCCTCCCTCCCAAGACTTCTATATAGATTGAGATTTTAAAAAATGCTAATGTGCAAAGTAAACAGCTAGGCCTGCTCTAAAGGCACTGTGAATGTTGGATCCAAATCTGAATTTTGTCTGGGACCAGGGTTAGGGGCCAGAATACACCAGAGGTGAGGGCCAGACCCACCTGAGAACCATCAACAAACTTACCCCACACCCCAATACACCTCCTCACCCCCTGCAGCCTGTCAGCTTCCCCCATCTCCCACACTCACTGTCACCTGGCGCTCCGGTGCACCAGATGACACTGCTTACTCCCTGGTACACAGGTAAGTGCAACCAGTGTCATACCCAAGGCCTATAAATGAGGTCCACAGGCAAGAGCCATCCCAGCCCACATCTGATATCCAAGATGCAATGCTAAGTGGAAAAAGCACTGCAGAACAATGTGTGGAATATGGTCTTGTATATGTGTGTGTGTAAGATATAGGTATAAAATATGCTTGCATATTCATAGAAAATTTGTGGAAGGATACACAAAAATTGTTAACAATGGTTATTACTAGTTCTACAGGGATGATAAACAGGGAGGGGTGAGGACTGTATTTTCACTAGTTATTATCATTTGAATATTTTTGCCATGAACATGTATTACTTTCATAATGTAAAAGCACTTAAAATCAAAATTTTTAGATAGTAAATTAATATGTAGATATAGATAGATGATAGATGGACAATAGTGGTAGATAAATGATATGAAAATAGCTAAAAGCTAAACCAGACAGATATCTCTGTGCGTTGGTTTCCTCACGTGAAATGGTACCTATTTCATAGGATTATTGTGAGAATTAAATGACTTCATACGTTCAAGTCCTTGGAACAGTGCCTGGCACACAGTAAGTGCTCAATAAATGTTCTCGTCTTTCGGATAATACTGGTGTGGAGGTGGTGGAGGAAGACAGGCTGGCTCGATGTGATAATCTCTTTCGCCATCTTGTGGTCAGTGGAGCACAGGCCATAGAGCAACATTAATGCCAGTTGGCAGCGTGGGTTCACTTTGCATGTTTTCAAACCTCTTCATAGGTAAGTGTAGGAGTTCAGGCCTTAGGAATGGAGGACCTAGGACTTTTAAAATCGAAAAAGAGTTTAAAGAAATAAACAAATAAGTTTACAAATGGGTAGCCAGAATAGGACTTAAGAGACCCCTACTCTAGTCATCTTTGATACCAGATGCTCCTGATCCCTAGTGCTGTCGGTGTCAAAAAGAAAACAAATTGGTGGGTCCCTGTTTTTGTTTGTTTGTTTGTTTGTTTGTTTTTTCCAGGTTCCTCTTTTTCTGTCAGGCTTCTTAGTGGCATCAACAGAACCAATTTTAGCTTACTTACTCAGAAAAG